ATTGAGTCGTGGGAAATGATGGGGAAAGTGTTTTTGGGGTTATGAGGTTTTGTTGGATAATATATAGAATGGAGTGTTTCTTCTCCTGCTTTTACACAACTCATCACATGGTTTTTTTTCTTTTCTTTTTTCTTTTTATTTTTTCCTTTTTCCTATTAGTATTGTGTGGATATATAGTATTATGATGATATTGGGATTGGGATTGATGGGAGTGGTAGTGTGTTCTCTCTCTCTCTCTATCTCTCTCTCTCTCTGGATAATATATAGAATGGAGTGTTTCTTCTCCTGCTTTTACACAACTCATCACATGGTTTTTTTTCTTTTCTTTTTTCTTTTTATTTTTTCCTTTTTCCTATTAGTATTGTGTGGATATATAGTATTATGATGATATTGGGATTGGGATTGATGGGAGTGGTAGTGTGTTCTCTCTCTCTCTCTATCTCTCTCTCTCTCAAATTTCAAGGTGGGTTATTGATGTGGATCTAGAAATGTCTCTTCTCAAGGCTCTTTGGGGCAAGAGTGGGGGCTTTGTGATGTGGAAATTCTTTTTTAGTTTTGGGAAATGGGATTTGGGATAGTGTTGGTTTACCTCAAAAGGTTGGGTGTTTTCTTGGAAAGCTGGTCTTAGCTATTTTTTTTTCAATTTTTTTTTTCCTTCGAGAAAGCTGTTCTTAGTCAGTTTTTCTCCCACAGAAGAGAAATCAGTGGTTTTAATACTGTTAAAAAAGGAAAAATTAGTAGTTTTAAACTGATTAATTATTAAAAAGTGTGAAAAAAAGATAAGAGATGCATGGAACCCAGCCAGGTTATGGCTGAGCCACACTTGGGATCTTTTTCCAACCAAATTGCTGTTGATTTTACACTTTGTTGTTCATGCTTTATTCACAACAACATATTCTTACCATTGCCCTCTATGCATCATCTTTTACTGCGATAACCTCGCTTTAGAAGGATTCTAAAAAAAAAAATATCACTTTAAAAAGGAATATTATTCTAGTCCTAGAGTGTTTATACTCTTATAAAACGTTTCAAATTTCCAAATTTTGAGAAATTCAAGTATCAATAGAATTGTTGCTTTTTTTCATTATTCCCCTTTTTATAAAGACTTTTTTTTTTTTCATTTTACACAGTAAAAGCTAAGTTTTGGGAAATATAAAATGGTTTATAGTATGTTGAACCAACCCAAATCTTTTTTGTTGCACTCCATTTCGAAGTACATCCCGTCCTAATGCAATCGAAATGAGAATCAAAACAATAATAAAGTAATTAAGCAGTCCCAATACTATATTCCACTTTAAATGTGAAAAAGCATATTTGATGCCAAATTATTTTATACTCTAATTTACAAGGCTATTTTATGTGTTATATTATAACATCAAGTTAAAATAATTTGAGAACGATAATGTTGAAACAATTAAACGAAAATGTCAAAGTTTAACATATATTATATGTGATTGTATATTGTGACATAAAGACAATAACATTAATAAACTAATTGAACAATATATTAGAAAGTGAAATTTTCTACTCAAATGTTTACCGTCGGCGTTAATAAACTAATTTGACATTGTATTAAACACCATTAACCTAATTTGATGAAACGAGATAATGAGTAAATGAAGAGGGGAAAATGGTGAAATATCACCAGAAAAAAAGATATCTATTTTAGACTGAAGTATATAGTCACCATTTACCGAAGCAACGTTGACAGTGGAGGGGAGAGACGTGGAACACACGCGACAAACTGAAGGCAAAAACTTTTCACTGTGGCGGTTGTGAGAGACGAGTGACTGCCTTTTAAAATATATATATATTTCACTGTCTTTTTAAAATATTAGTTCGCTGATTTAAATTTTTAATTTAAATTAAAATATTATTTTATATGAGAGTATTTTACTATAGTAAAAAAATTAAATGTAAAATATTAGAACGCTGATTTAAATTTTTAATTTAAATTAAAATATTATTTTATATGAGAGTATTTTACTATAGTAAAAAAATTAAATGTAACTGTTTCTGAGAACTTTTTACTATCGAGTTAAAATGAACATGATTTTTATAACTTTAATTCCCTTCAAAGTTCTCCCACTCTTTGAAGGGAATTTATTTATTTTTTTAGGACAAGAAAGACATCCATCCTTTTCAAGATGAGGGAAGCTATTAAGTATTAGGGGATGTTTGGTACCTAGATTCGTTCCCTGATTCGAATCATAATTCGTAGTTCCTTAAAGTATTTTCTCTCACAAAAAATACATATGAATCGAAAATAATTCTAATCCATGAACTAAACGTCTCCTTAACCTTTTTCCTTTTTTAGCATAATACATTTAGGAGCAAATATACTTTGCAAATATACATCATGCATGAAATTGTTTACCTTTTTCCTTTTCAACATTTAAAATACATTTAGGAGGCATCCATCCTTTTTTTAGGACAACATTTAAAATGCTATTTATTTAAGTTGTGGTTTTTTTTTTTTTTGGGGTAGAAAATATCTCTACGTGGTTTTATAGAAAGGAAATAAAATTCAGCATTATTTATAAACTTTTACTCCAGATTGATTATTTTTTTTTTTCCAATAGTTTCTCCAACCAAGAAGTTTCTTAAGAGAGGAAAAAAGCAAAAAGAAAAAGAAAATTTGAGTTATCTTGGAAAATGGGTCTGCACCGTGACGGATACATGCAGTTGATTGACTAGAAAACCCAACGTACGATGTAGAAAGACTTCTGTTGAATCCAATACATATATTGATCAATTAACTTTAGGAAAAAAAAAAATGGCACGCATTAAGTCGACCTTGTTCCTTACCAAAGAGAATAACAAGACAACTTGTCTCTTTTTTTTTTTTTTTGAACAAGAGAACTAGTTTATATATCGACTACAACAATTTCCCATTACAAGAAATAGATGATAATGGAGTCTTCAGGAAAAATAAATAAATAAATAAATAAAAAGGAGATGATAGTAGAGAAAATACATCTCCCCAATCTGTGTTTTCGGTAAATTTTCCTTGAGGATAGGTGTATGATGCATCCATCATCTATATCTTAATTGCCCACCATCAGCCATCAGGTCATAGGGCATAAATTCAAGTGTACTTACTTAGACACCATATTACTCTACACAGCTATTCTATTCTATTGAAAATAAATAATTCATTAATGACCTCTCTGCATCTGAAGTCTAAACTGTCGTGGAGTACCATGCATTCACATTTCACATATCAGGTAGAAATAAACGTAAGAAATTACCCCAATAGCTACCAAGTCGGACTCGCATTTAAAACTTGAACAAACTTGAAATGCACGTAGAGTTTTCCATGATCTATCAAAATCATGACCGTACGATTATAAAAAGCCTAGTTATAATTTCATGCATGATGTAACACAGCATGACATTACTTTGCTATTAGCGTAGGAAAAAATGTTGTATAGCCCATGACGACAAATAGGATTGCAGGTCTCATTAAACATACCATGCAATAGAACAATACAATAACTATCATTGCAGACTTTATTTATTTATTTTACAGTGTGCCAAATAGCATTAGCAAGATCAGCAATTCAGTTTTCGCTGAAAGAAATCCACTCAAACAAATTAGCTAAGGAGAAGCCTGATGATTCTATAGTGTGTTCCCTTCTATTCAGATTCTTTTTTTTCTTTTTTCTTTTTTTTCTTTTTTTCCCCCTCATTACCAGAAGAGAGAAAGCAGAATCACAAAACGTAACAGTACAGAAATGTGCAGGGAAGTCGAATTAAAGCCTGGTTCTCAGGGGCAAAAAAGGGAATTCTGAATTGATCTGAGCTTTACAAATGTTCTAAAATGTTTGAATAAATAAGCCTATTTGACGCATGTCATCTATTTAATATATAGTTTAGGCGTGTTACATAATTTACAGCCAATTTACCATACAAAAAATTTGGAGCACCGAGGATGTAGAAAGTATACCTCATGGGGGTCACTATAAAAGGTATAGACAGCTCTAGATATCATCGAAAAGAGGCCCCAATCTGCAGTCAGTGAAGTTTACAAGTTAGACTAATTTCACAGAGATCTTCTATAAAATCTAATTAAGGCAAATAACAATCATCATTATCATTAAATAAAGACATACATATGCACATACTTACAAGAATGATTAAAATGAAGCATCAAAAAGAGAAAAGACTCCTTTGTTCATCTGTAGGATTGTACAACCATCGGCAGTACATGACTGCTGACCCCACTACTGATAGAAGTGACAGCATAGCTAGATATCCGAAATGTGAAACATCATTGGCAATAATTGCAACTCCTAACATCGTAGATTCAGCCAAGCTAGCAACAGCAACCTCTGTTGTCCCAATAAGATTGGCTTTCGAGGATGGTATGCCAGTTTGAAGAATCTGTGCAGCCACCACATCATACGACATGTGTCCCAGTCTTGATAGTACCTAAAAGCAAAAGTGGTATAGCTTTTCTTAAAAGCTCCAGAAGAATATCTGACAAAAAGCTCTAGGCCAGAACTTTTCCAAAGTTTCCACCAGAAAGTGTGTTCTTTATTTACAGAGAACATGTGCGATTACAATAGGAACTGAGAGTTATCTCACCCTGTCGCAGGGAAATCCTAGAAACTACGTACACTCATGGTATAAAAACAAGTTAAACAAGTATGGTTGAAATTCTACCTCGCTATAACATATTTAAACTGGCTATAATTTTATGATTAGAACAACTAATACAATCAGAATTTACGTCATCCCACAAAATCCTATTTAATGGAAATACTCCATGCTCCAGCATCTAATCCGTCGCTAATCTGACTGACTTTACCATAGTGAATCTATGTCCAAAACATCTGGAGCACGTATTGGTCAAAACTTGCTAAAGTTTTGTACAAGAATTTTATGTTCAATCAATGTATTAGATATTAGGAAAAAAAGAAAGCCAAGAATGATTCTTACAATCATACACAAGAAGAAGAGAAGAGGGCTCTGTTGAGAAAGAAATCCACTCCAATATACAGCAACAGCTACGGTGAGAAGTGAAGCTTGAAATATTAATCCAGTTGCTCCAGCCTGGTGGTTAAGAGACTCTTTGAGAACTCGATCTAATACTAAATTATAATAAAGTGGAGAAAATAAGAAAGAATGGGACAACAACCTTTAGAATACCAAGTCGCTTGATCAGGCTCGCAGACACAAATGTTGCTGCAACACCCATGAAAGCACATAATCCACTAAACCCCCCTATGATTGATGGATTTAGACCTGTTAAAGAATGTCATCTCAGTTAAAATTAAGCTTAAGCCAAGAAATTTTGTGAGGTTGTAGTACAAGATCTTCTCTTGGTTTAAAACTAAGAAGGGAAAATTAGAAAAAAGAAAAATGGCATCGGCACCAAAGCACACTAAGAAAAATCACTCTTCCAATTCCTAGATTTTAAACAACATACGTTAAAGGTGTCGACAGATGATACTGAGGACATCTCAGGCCACAACACACAAAATAATCCACAAACTGTAGTTTGTAATTTGAAGAAATCAAGAGTAAATACAAGCCCATAACTTAAAATATCGGTGTCATATACTAAATCGCCTAGTTCAGCAGCATCTTACATAGCAGCCACTGACTATTGATAGTTAGATCTCTTCAGGGTATTATATTTTTACAGCAAATATAAGTTGGCGTCATCTTGGTTAGAGTATATTATAGGTGATCCCAATTAATTTAGATCTTGAACTTTAGAAACAATCAAGCCCACCCAAATACTTGTGAATTGTGGAAAAAGTTAAGACGATACCACGCTGTGTTAAAAATGCTGTCATCAAACTGCTTGGAGTGAGAACAATATTGAAATAAAGGAGCACGTAAGCAAGGCTTGCAGGAAGAACTGGCTGCTGCATGTATTCCTTCCACCCGAGCTTGATAGCTTCCACACCTTTATCCACTGGTTTATCCATGGATTCAATTAATGAAATACGAAGAATATTCTCTTTTCCAGCAAAAAACGGTTCAAACACCAAATTTTACCTATACTTTCGGCATCAGGAAGAGCTCCATCATCGAATGTTCTGCAACAAGTTTGTGAGCATTTAGGGCGGTCAAGAACTCCGGAAGAGAGCTTGTTGGTTAACCATGTCAGGATTACCTGAGAATTCGAATTATACAGTGAAGGATGAAAATAACACTTATCTTCCTAAGAAGGAAAAATTGAAAGAAAGAAAGACCGAAGAAATGGTACACAAAAGGTGAACAGAAGACCAATTACCGCAAATGGCAATGACCACACCATTAAACCAGCAGCAAACTTCAGGCAGGTTACAGGATCAAACTTGGAGAGAAGAATGCCAAATAATGATGCTCCCCCTATCTGTTATAATTCTATGTGAATATATGAGTTCATCTACTGGAATTTGAGGTCATCAGGAACATATAGGACCAGAAATATCTATACACCTTTTAAGAGTACACACCATTCTTAGGTAAACAAGCAAACACGAACTTTATATCGATGCATAATTTTTTTTTTATAAAAAAATCTATACCCATATATCGAAAGAGAAATCCATCATACCTCACAGAGAAGATCAATTCGATTAAGAATTGCATTTGCTTGTGCAAGAGCAACGGGCCTATTCACTCCTGCCAACTGTCCACGCAAAAATGCTAGTTAAAGGCAACTCATTTTGAGAGAACAGTAAGCATATGAAGTAACAATGTAACATATGTGTTGAAATACACAGAATATTCTCATAAGATTAGTCAACTTTCCGGTTTATGTTTGATGTAAATAGGCAGATTTGTTTCCTTCTTTCATTTGCGTAGATTAGTCAAAGATTGTGAACTAGGAAAGTTAGCTGTATTTTATTCTTTTCTGTTTTTTATTTTTCTTTCTTGTTTTCTTTCTGCTTGTATTCGGCTATTTATAGCCTGTAAATTTCAGTGATGAATGACAAGTTTTTTTAAACCATTCTTTCTACATGGTATCAGAGCCGATATTTGGCCTTCTTCGTTTCAGCCTCCATCACTGATTTTTCTTCTTCTTTTCCTCTCCTTGTTATTCACCATGTCGAAACAACCTCTGAATCTTCTTCAACTTCTTCCACGAAAACCAATCAAACCCGACTGTTGCACCATGATTCCCATTCGGTGCAAATCACCACCATTCGTCTTAATGAGGGAAATTTCTTGCGTTGGTCCCAATCCGTTCAAATGTACTCCGGGGAAGAGGAAAGATAGGTTACTTGACAGGCGAAACTCAAGCTCCTAAGAATACTAATCCGGCATATGCAACATGGGATGCAGAAAACTCGATGATTATGGCCTGCTTGGTGAACTCCATGGTCGAGGAAATCAGTGCAAACTACATGTGCTATTCCACTACAAAAGAACTGTGGGACAGTGTGGTTGAAATGTATTCAGATCTTGGAACTTATTCACAAATGTTTGAACTCCAACAGAAGATTGAAGAGGCTCGGCAAGGAGAGGGGAGTGTGACCAGGTATTTTAATATCCTTAAGAATCTTTGGCAGGATTAAGACTTGTTTAATGATTATGAATGGAAAAGTCAGGATTGTAACCATCACAAGAAAACTGTAGAGAATGGTAGAATTTTTCAGTTTTTGGCAGGTCTTAACGTCGAGTTTGATGAAGGGGGAGAATCCTTGGAAGAAAGCCTCTTCCCTCCATTGGAGAAGTATTCTCGGAAGTCAGAAGGGAGGAGACCAGGCGTCTGTCAAGCTGGGAAAAAAGGGGGTTGTGAACCCAACTGAATCAACTGCTCTCGCTGCGGAAGAACCCAAAACCCCAGCCGGAAATCAAGCTACGAACAAGTCATCATACAGCCAAAACCAGCGGCGGTTCGATGAAAAATCTCGAGCATGGTGTGATTATTGCAATAAACCACGTCATACCCGAGAAACTTGCTGGAAGCTTCATGGAAAACCAGCAAATTTGAAAGGTAGCAGACCCGGGGAAAAAACTAGCCATGCATCCTCCTCAGCCAATGCAGCCGAGACATTCAGCAAAGAGCAAATTGATTTCCTCTTGAAACTGCTAAAATCTAATTCATCCTCTAGTACTCCTAATGTTTCCTTGGCCTAAACAGGTAGTGATTTTAGTGTTTTTTCTTATTGCACAAGTTTCAATTCTTCTCCTTGCATCATTGATTTAGGAGCTACTGATCACATGACCAGTGTCTCCCACTTATTCACTACATATTTTCCTTGTTCTGGTAATGAAAAAATTCGAATTGCAGACGGTAGTTTCTCATCTATTAGATCCCTTGTGCCATTGATCTGTATTCTGCTTCTGCACTGCTTCGAGCCACTACGTTTTGTTTCTTGCTCCTCCAAGTAACTGGGTTTCCCCATACAAATGTGCAGTAGCCAGATGTAGACCTTCTATTTGACGTAGATCCCGCCCAATCTGCATCTATGTAAGCTTCAATACCTCGTCGTTCATTCTTCTCAAAGAACAGTCCTTTTCCCGGTGAACTCTTCAAGTACCTCAGGATGCGGTAGGCTGCTTCTAGATGTTCTTCATGGGGAGAATGCATAAACTGGCTCACTAGGCTGACAGCGAATGCTATATCTGGTCGAGTATGTGATAAGTAGATTAGCTTCCCGACTAGTCTTTGGTACTGAGCTGTATCCACCTGTCTTCCTTCTTTGTTTCCAAACTTCTAATTTGGATCAACTGGTGTTTCGGCAGGGCGACATCCACTCATCCCGGTCTCTTTAAGAAGATCAATCACATACTTCCTTTGTGAAATTGCAACTCCCTTTCTTGACCTGGCTACTTCCATACCAAGGAAGTATTTTAGTGAGCCTAGGTCCTTAATCTCAAATTCGGAAGCCAGACTTTGCTTTAAACGATTCATCTCAATAGTATCATCCCCAGTAAGGATGATGTCATCCACATACACTATAAGAACAGCTACTTTCCCATTGGAGTGTCTTGTGAACATCGTGTGATCTGCTTGCCCCTGGTCATATCCCTGTCTTCTCACAAATTGAGTGAATCTCTCGAACCAAGCTCTTGGGGATTGTTTTAGACCATACAGAGACTTTTTTAGCTTGCATACCCGGGTTCCATATTTTTCTTCAAATCCTGGAGGTGGATCCATGTAGACTTCTTCATCCAAATCGCCATTAAGGAACGCATTCTTCACATCTAGTTGCTGTAGTGGCCAATCTAAGTTGGCTGATAGGAGTACCCTGATAGTATTGAGCTTTGCCACTGGTGCAAAGGTTTCAAGGTAGTCAATCACATATGTTTGAGTGAACCCTTTTGCTACTAGGCGAGCCTTGTATCTTTCCAGAGATCCATCTAATTTGTATTTTGTTGTGAACACCCATTTACAGCCAACAGTCTTCTTCCCCTTTGGCAGTTCTATCACTTCCCAAGTTCCATTCTTTTCAAGGGCTTTCATTTCCTCGAGAACAGCTTCCTTCCATTCAGGAACCTTTAGAGCATCTTGCACATTCTTTGGAGTTTCCACACTAGACAATTGTGAGGTAAAGGCAGAGAAAACAGGTGACAGATTTTTGTAGGACACAAAGTTTGATATGGGATATTTTGCACAACTTCGGACCCCTTTGCGCTTAGCAATAGGAAGGTCAGCCTCAGGTATATAGGACTCGGATTCAAGATTGGGTAGGTTGGTGTGAATAGATATAGTGTGAGGAATACCTGATTCGGGAATATTCTGTGGTGTAGGATCCGGACTGATCTGTGGTTCAGGCTCTTGGCAGTGTTGGCTAGTTTCAGTCTCTATTCCTTGCTTCCGGTTCTTCTTCCTATAAACCAACAGTTTTTGTGTTCCTGTTTGTTCCCTATTTTCATCTTTATTAATGTTATGAGATGACTCTATAGACTCAGGATTCAAATTTTCATTACTCACATCACCTAACTCTGTATTTATTAGGAAATTTAGGCTTCTTGCAGTTTCTATTTCAAAGTTCGAATCTTCCATTATGCTCTCCTCCTGAAGATGAGTACCAAAAAATGGTTGAGACTCAAAGAAGGTAACATCCATTGTGACAAACATTTTTTTTGAGCTCACGTCATAGCACTTATATCCTCTTTGGTTCAGAGCATAGCCTACAAATATGCACTTTCTAGCGCGAGGATCTAACTTTCCCCTATTTTGGCTGTGAATATGGACAAATGCACTACACCCAAACACTCTCAAAGGTAAATCTGTAGTCAACTTAGAGGCAGGGAAAGTGTTCTTGAAGACACTTAGGGGTGTTTTATAATCTAAAACTTTGGTAGGCATGCGGTTTATGAGGTATGTGGCAGTTAGGAGAGCCTCTCCCCAAAGGTACTTAGGAACACCATTAGTAAATAATAATGCTCTCGTGACTTCTAGGAGGTGTTTATTTTTTCTTTCCGCTATGCCATTCTGTTGGGGTGTATCTGAACACGAACTTTGATGTATTATACCCTTGTCTAAAAAATATCCTCCCAATATTTCATTAAAGTATTCTCTGCCATTATCACTCCTAAACACTTTTATTTTCTCTTGAAATTGTGTTTCAATCATTGTATAGAATACCTGAAATATCTCTTTTACTTCAGACTTGTCCCTTAATAAATATACCCAAGTGAGTCGTGTGTGATCATCTATAAAGCTAACAAACCATTTTTTTCCATACATTGTTGAGGCTCGAGATGGTCCCCAAACATCACTATGAATTAATAAAAACGGTTTTGATGCTTGATATGGTCTAGCGGGAAAGAAAGAACGATGATGCTTAGCTAGTTCACAAATCTCACATTTAAAAGAAGATGGACTTTTATTTCTAAATAAATCAGGTAACAAATGTTTTAAGTAATAAAAACTAGGATGCCCTAATCTATAATGCCAAATCATAACATTATTAGAAACGGAAATAGAGTTGAAACAAGAGTTTGTAACTTGGTGTCCTGATTCGGTTCCATCTTCAAGGAAATAGAGACCTCCACTTTCTCTAGCACTGCCAATCGTCCTCCCCGAGACCATGTCCTGAAACTCACACCGAGAAGAGTAAAAAATAACACGACAATTAAGAAAACTTGTTATCTGACTGACAGACACAAGATTGCAAGAGAGTTTTGGAACATGGAGTACATCATGCAAGGTTATATAATTGGAAATTTTGACAGTCCCTGTTCCAGCAATTGCGGAAAGGGAACCATCAGCAATTCTAATCTTCCTATTCCCTGCACATGGAGTATAAGTTGAAAAAAAAAGGGAGCAACCTGTCATGTGATCAGTGGCTCCTGAATCTATGATCTAGGAGCTGTTTTGTTTGGGATTAACACTGAGGAAGGCTGAGGCGAGATTACCTGTTTTGACAAAAGAACATTAAGGGGTTGATTGGTTTACTCGAAAGTGTGAAGACTGAAAGAGTTTGTGCAGCTGCTCTAATTGTTCCTTTGTGAAAGACAGCCCTTCAGAAGTACCTTGCTGCCCCTGATCTTCACTGGTTGCTTGAGCCAAGAAGCCCCTGGAATCAACACTTTTTTTTTTCCAGTTCTGCGGTTTTCCGTGGATCTTCCAGCAATTTTTCCTCGTATGCCAATGTTTTTTGCAGTGGTCACACCAGGGCTTCTTCTTCCTGTCATTATCTGAGTCAATCCTCATTCACAAAAAGGCTGAAT